TATGAGAGGGCTGATCCGTAGACAGCGCGCTGCAGCGGCTCCTGCGCTCCTCTGGAGACTTGCGTGCTGTGTCCACAGTGTGTCTCGTGCTAAGTTGTTGCTGCCACTGACAGACGCTGCTGTTCTGGCTACCAATTGCATGCAGCCTCTACCCAGATCGAGTTCGAGTGGGTACTGCTGCACACATGCACCTCATGCTCCCCTTGCCACTCTCGCTCTGTCGATAAGGATCAATGTTTAGCCGGTGCTACGCTTTAATATTGTACGGCCCTGGCTCTGGCACACGTTGCCATGATTTGGGGCGGTGCTACACACACACAAACACACACACACACACACACACACACACACAACATTACAGACAGGGCGGAGAGGTAGTGGCGGAGTCACTTACACCAAAAACAAAAAAACTTCGGTAGTCGATCTTCGTCTTATGGTGTCGTCTTTCGTCTTTCTTTTGTTTTACTTCTGTCTTCATATCGCGCCCCGTGGCTGAGTCATCATTTATATATGGGGATAATGTCCCCACTTTATGTGTAGCTTTCCTTGGTTCCTTCCCCGGCATTCCCCTGCCCGTTTCCATTCTGTTCCTCTGTCTTGGGTGGCACTTCGAGTGCTTTGACTTTTGCTTGTCAATGAGCGACGTCTTTGATAACTAATTGCTGCGGCGCCAAATGTTTTCCCCATTTCGTTTTGTTTCTCTCTTTCTGCCTGTCTCTCTCTCTCTGCCGCGCGCTACCTCGCGCTACCTCTCTCTCTCTCTCTCTCTCAGTCTCTCTTTTGTCTGTCTTTCTGTCTCTCCCTCTGTGTGTGTCTGTCTGTGTGGCGCTGTCTTTGGGACATAATAAAAGTCACATCGTTACCGTTTTGTCGGCACTTATGAGGTCGCACGAGCAGCCCGCTGCATTTCTTGATTTGTATTGAAATTTTGTAGCACTCCTCCTTGCTCAAACAGCAGCATGCAACAATCACATGCCACACATAAAAAGTGAGCAATTATGGCAACAAGTTAATTAGGAACCGAACAGCAACCCAAAGCCACCGTTCCACATGCTCCACTTGCTGCAGCAGCAGCAGCAGGCCAAATGGAATTGTTAGCTTCTGCCTCTCTCTGTCTGTCTGGGAGCTCCTTCTGTGCCTCTTCCCATCTCTGGCAGCTCCTGCTCTACCTCTACTGTGTACCCTGCATATGCAAGTCGAGTTGGTAGTTTGCCGCCTTAACTTAATTTATGCACAAGTCCCCGAAGTACAACCGAAAAACACTGAATAATTTCATCTGCTCGAGAAACAAGCGAAAGGAAGAAAAGTTCACATAAATAAGAACAAAAAGGCAGTCAAGTTGGAAGGTTTTTGGCGAGCTTTTAGAGGCATTTAATACCCTCAAAAGCGCTTTTAAAATAAGAAAACTAACCAAAGAAATGTCCCTTAAAGTGCTTACATTTAAAATACAATTAATCAAATAATGTTTAACCATTTTCAATCCCAGAATAGGTACTCAAACCGGAAATGAATCACATTTATTTATTGTACCTGAAAAATAGCCGAAACTTCAATCTAAGAAACTGCTGCTGATAGTTTAATCGTGACTCAGATCAGAACATCTTCGATAGAAGATTCGAAGTTAAAAGTGTGCCCATAAAATGTGTCAATGTGTTCTTGGAGAGATCCATAAAGATTGTTTTTATGCGCAAAAGGAAATACGCGTATGCAGGTTGGAACGATGATCTCATCATTGAAAAATCTAAAGATCTAAATAGATTATCAGCTAGATAAAATCACAAATTGAGGCGAGTGGGAGACAGTATAAAGTGAACTTCAAGAGCAGCCAAAGAAGAGATCTGAAGCTTCGATAATACAGCAAACCATCGTCGTCCGCCCGCTCCATCATCGATTATGTATTTTCCCATCGGTGATTACAGATTATCTCATCAACTGCCCTGGAAATGGTTTGAACATGTAACTCGCTTACTGGTTTCATTCACATCGAACTGAAAATACATTTTCAGCTACAAGTTCACAGATGTCTCACATCCCCCTCTATGTAGTTCGTTGCCCAAGTCTTTTGTTTGTTTGAATGAATTTATAATTCCCTCAAAAAGACGATTCCCAGCACAGATGTTGTCGGCTTGGAGAGTTTTTTTATAGCCCATAATCTATGCATACCTCTAGCCATACAAAATATTTCAGGGCCACAATAATTTCCAATCATGTGCAATTCCCTGCGTCATAAATGGAATTAAGATTTTTGCATTTAACTATTTTTTTTGTTGGTTTCGTCTTAACCTTAACTCTGTGGCACCCTCCGCTCTGTGGTCGGCCGGTGACTATGTATCATGGAAAAGCTGCCTGTAAAAATATTTTGCGTTTTTCCATTATCCACTATCCATTTTCATTTCCATTTCCATTTCCATTTCCATTTGTTGTTGGCAGGCTTAATCAAAGTGGCGCTAATTAGTTTGAGTCATTTGGATAATTGCAAATTAAACGCAAACTTAATTGCGCCGACACACGAAACACACAGACAAGCACACCAGCAATTATATAGGTACATACATACACACATACAGATACATATATTCAGAAGCGGCAGCCACTGCATTTCGTCTTGTAAGGCAACAAAAAAAAAGGAAAATAAAAACCAACACAAAGAATAAGTTAAGAAAAAATGACCAGAAAAACAACCGCCTGGTGCTTCTGGTGGCTGGTAACCTGCACAGCAGACAGCAGCAGGGTATTATGATTTGTAGCAAGGGTTTGTTTGGCAGACAAGCAAGTATTTCCGAAGCTAAGAAATGAGTAAAAAGTTACTTTTGAGGCGATATTGGCCATGTTCCTTTGTCTATTTATTTGACAACAATAATTTCTAGGTATTTCCGATTCTGCTGCCAAAGAAAAATTGCTTATTTCTTATTATTATTTAATTCATAAATTGTACATGCATTATTTTGGGTTTATGCAGTTCTCCAGGGTATCTAAAAGGTCGCTCCTGCCGTTTCTGCTTGTGGTTTTTTGCTGATTTTGTGCAGTCACTGCTCGTGGAATTAACAATTAAGTCTGTGTTGCAGATAAATTGAATTAAAACCTAACAAAAAAGGCGCATTAATCGAATGTTTCTGTGCAAATTTGCTAACAAATTAAAAGCATTTACTCAAATAGAATAGAGATGTTGTACAAGCAATTGGAAATGCACTGAGAGAAATTAACTGAGAAAGGGTAGTCAACCGGAAAGAGGGAAGCTGAAGAGAAGATTTTAATTTTATGGTTGGCTAATTTTGTGGGAGCATGTTTTTATTTTTTGTATATTCTTTAAAATTATTATAGATGAATAAAAGATATATTTGTTCTACATTTTCCATGCCTGGGGGGATGGAGTTATTATCCTGTTAACACTTTATGTATTGCTCTTATGGAGTTTAGATTTATGTGCATATTTTCGTTTGCCATTTTATGATTTATTTCACTTCTTTTCCACGTCACATTTCTCACAGTGTCGTAGGTATTGTGCATTGTCCACAAACAAAAACTAAACTAATATCAAATCAAATCAAATTGACGTTGGGGAGTAATTAAAATGCAGTCTCTTAATGTCAGCGTTAATTAGTCGCCTTAATTAATGATTATTAATATGGTTGTTGAACCTCCGCCTCTCTCTCTGTGGCCCTGCCTCCATGGCGAACCCATATTCATGCCCTCCCCTTTGGCTTGATTATTATGCAAATTAATTGCTTGGATCTCTTTTTTCTCTCACTCTTTGCTTGTCTCTGTTTTTGTGTGTTTGCATTTGACGAACTCATTGAAATGCATGAGAGAGAGAGGCACAAAATTATACAGTCTGAGAGGCGTAGGCCCTGCAGCCGTGGTCCGTCGGTTAAACATGATTATCACAGTTCCACCTCATCGCAATTACCAGGCCATGTGAGGAGGATCCCAAGTCAAGATCTGGCACTGCCTCTTTTTGTGCCTTCCAGTCCGAAAGTCTGGCCAACAACACAGAAAATAAAATCCGGTAATCGAATTAGGCAACTTCGTGTTTTATAAATGTTATCATAAATATTCCATTTTATTAATTACCGCGCATAATTCACAAACAAAAGCAAGCGAGAGAGAAATCATCTTGAGATCGAAGACGCTCGAAGATCGAAGATCCAAGATCTCAAGCGAAGTTTCCTCTGCGAAGTGTTCGAAGTTCCGCGCTCTCTCGATCATTGTTGTTGTTCCAACTTCGACTTCGAATCATTAACATATTTAATTTGTTTCTAATTTATTCATAAATTTATATTTGTAGCACCCTCCCCTGTGCATGATGATTCTCTTGTTTTTGATCATGCCTCCCTTCGTGACTTCCATCCCAATCCCAATCCCAATCCCATTCTCTTCTCTGATTTATGGGAATACAACTGATTAATGGCAGATCCGACTCGAACTCGGACTCGTACTCCCAAGATCTGGTCAGACTGGCAGTGATTCACTGTATACGACTCTCATAAGTAGGTGTTGTTACGCATATTAGGAGGGTTACGAGAGAGGGAGAGGCAGAGCTATTAGGCCTCGGCTTATGGGTCATTTGTGGGAATTACCAAAAGAAGACAAAAGAAAACGAGGAGGAGGCTAAATGCATTGTTTATGCATTAATAATGTGTGTGTCTTTGGAAGGGAAAGTAGGGGATTTTGAAGCAAGTGTGTGAAGGAATACGTTTTGAAAGTTGAAGTCCTTAGGGAATGATGGAAAACATTGAATAAACTTTGATGGAAATGGGAACTTGGAACATAATTAAATATTTATATGGCTACATTTCTCTAGGAATTATCTGTTTCGAGACACTCTGAAGTTCCAACCCAGAAGTGAGGCTGAAATTGGTACATGGAACTACTGGAAGACAGAAAAGATGAGAGTAAAACCCTTCAAACAAAAGGTCCTTCTTCGGTTTAGGACGTGTTCTTTTAAGGGTGAAGTTCATGTCACTTTTTCACAGCATTCCACGAGTTCTCCTTGGTTTTCCTTTCTTCAATTTACTTTTGTGAATTTTATTTTGCAAAATTCCGCGTTAAATACTTGCACATACAATGAAATAACTTATTCGCTTACGACTAAGGTGAACCAGCAAATGTTTTGCACTTGAATTTGGGAACTTGGGGCACATGCACACCCCCAGCTAGCTGACGACATCGTTGCCATGTCCATTCTGTCGCAGGAGCTCCAGTTTTAGTTCGTGCTCGCGGGCCTTGAGCCGCAGGGCGGCAATCGAGGAAGTGCGTCGGTCCTCGGGCGGCGTGGATGAACGGGGCGGCGGCAGTTGACGCTGCGGCGAGTGGGCCAGGGTCAGGGCCACGGGCGACGTCTGTGTGGGCGAGCCGCAGGGCACCTGGTGGGTGAGCGAGATGCCCACCAGCTGCTGGGGCGACAGCTGCGAGGGCTGGGCGTGTGGTGGTGGCTGCTGCTGCTGCTGCTGGGGCGGAGGAGGCTGATGCTGATGCTGCGTGGCTCCAGAGGCGGGCGAGGTGGGCGGCGAGGCCAGCAGATGGTTGGGCGAGTGAAGGTCGGGCGATCCCACCAGCATGGGTTTGCCACCCATTGGCGGCATGTGGGTGTGTGGGCCGCGCGGCACTGCCGTCATGTTTGCCAAGAGCGACTGGAAGGAGCTGGAGGGCGAGTACATCCCGGCCATGCCCGGCGGCAGCATGTGTGGAGGCGCCCTAAAAGAGCGAGAGAACATGTTGGATTATACGAACTAGTTCTCTGGGGGATTCAGTACTCACCGCTGGAACTGATTGAAGTAGCCGGATGGAATCATGGGCGCTGCCGAGAGATGCGGGTAGCGGAAGGCGGCCAGATTCGCCGCGTGTTGGGCATCGAAGGGCTTGCGCAGCTGGAAGCCCAAATGGGTGAAGGGATTGGGCGGCAGGGCGGCCCCCACCACCGTCTGCATGCTAGCGGCGCCGCTGGGCAGGTAGGGATTGTACGGATGCGACTGTGGACCCACCTTCTCCTGCTTGCGCCACTTGGCGCGACGATTCTGGAACCAGACCTGCAACAGCAACAACGAGGAGAAGAAGGAGGAGGAAGGAAGAAATGAATGAGAGAAGGCCATGAATTATGTGTGGCTGGCAGGCTACTGTATCGGTATACACAGCATCCTCCGGTGCACGGGAAGACGCCTCAAACCTCATCCAATTAATGGGCGTTGTTATTGAAAACGCCCCTTTAATTAGTTTTTAACATAACAATCTGAATATGGGAGTCGAAAACCCAGGGACACGAACGGTGGCTGATTGCACTCAAACTCGGACTCGGACTCGGACTCAGACTCTCGGAACGGAGTGGGGAAACTGACAGTATTTGTAGTCCTTTGGGGGAAATGGATGTTCGGTTAAGCAAATAATGTTGTCTGGGGGGAATAATTAAAAACAAGAAGCGCCGTAGATTGTAATGACTGGCACTAAACCAAACAAAATTTAATGCGCATGCATTTCTCTCTCTTGGGTTCTGCTCTCCCCCTGTCTATGTGCGAGTCGATTTCATTAGGGACGACATGCTCCATTATTTTTCAATTTTACAACATTGTTTGCCGGCTGCACGTGGGGCACGCGAATCAACCGCAAATCTCTTTGTGGGCCTTACCTGAATGCGCGCCTCGGTTAAGCCAATTTTCATCGCCAGCTCTTCTCTGTAAAAAGTTGAAAGAAAAACCAGAGGATTAGTGGCAAATGCAGAGAAGATTTAGTTGATAATAAATTGCAGGGGCTAGGCGCTGAAAGCTTTTTATTTGCTGTAAGCTGAAAGTCTTTGGTAAAGGCTCTCTCCGATGTTCTCTCTAGTGTCGTTCCTTTACGTTTCTGCCTGCTGCACTTCTGTTTGAATTCACCTAACGGCGCTGCTCTCTCAGTTACATAAAGCACACTCAAGACAGATCTCTCTTGCTCCCTCTTTCACACGTGCATCTGAAAGCTTTCATGTATGCGAGTTTCTCTCTTTGCTGTGACCTCTCACGCGCGTCTCTCTCTCACGCGCGTCTCTCTCTGCCTGCAGCCAAGTGCTAATTGCAGCTTAAACACAAATTAAATCCGATTTGATTTATTTGCCTAATTAATTGCCCCGCATTCAAATCAAGCAGCAAGCAGGCCTTAATGAATTGAGAACTGCAGCGGCAACAGGCAGTGCAAAAAGTTGATCTAATTGTTGCACTGCTGCCGATGCTGCCATTGACTGTAAATGTAAAGCTTTTGCATTTTTTTTGCTGCTGTGCTTTTTCGCTTGGGCTTCGTGCGGTCTCAATTAGCAGTTTACTTTGAGTTCCAGGCTGACTTTTAATTTATGGCAATTACTTTGGCTGTCTTTCAGTGGGAGAACGAGTCTCGAGAGATTTCTGCATGCTAATTGAACTCTGGAAGTCGGGTCATCGATTCGGATCTATGGGAGCAAGCTGAGGCCTGATCTTTGGTGATTTGTAATCTAAACGAATATAACACATAAAAGCGCACACAAATGTTGCTCCAAATAAAATCGATGAAGAATACATCCATCCACTCAGGGGGGTCGTCATAAGTATTATTATCACTCGAAGTCGTAAAATCAAGAAGCGTCTCTCTCTCTCTCTCTCTCTCTCTCTCATTCCCCTTTGTCTCGCTGATGTCTCGATGAGCGATTTATGCAAATTTCATTTCTCTCCTCTCCAAAAAGTTTTTGGAGCCCATTGTCCATTCTGTCGCTCTTATCTTTTGTCATATTATATACTTGTTCTTGCTGTTGTTTTGGTTCTTACTCTTACTCACCTCGTAAACACATCGGGGTAATGGGTGCGTGAGAAGGCCTTCTCGAGCTCCTCCAGCTGAAAGCTGGTGAAGGTTGTCCGATAGCGACGCTGCTTCCGCTTCGGCGCATACTCGTCCGCTTCGCAGTCACTGTTCGCGTCCGAGATGGGGCTGTTGGTGCCCCCGCTGGCGCCGCTGGGTGCGCCACCTCCAGAAATTGAAACCGTTAGCGAGGCCCCGGCCGTGGCCGCCGACGCTGAGGAGACGAGCACCGAGCCACGTTCGACCACAACGGTGCCATCCGGGTGCCCCAATTTGGCTTCTTGCGGTAGTTCCTCCAGCTTGATCTCCTCCGATATGCCCATAATCCACCAAGGCACACCAGTACTCCAGTACTCCAGTATCCCACCAAAGGCAGCTGCAAACAAGTGAACGAGGGGGTGTACACAGATTTTAGACGGGGCTGTAAGGGGTTATAGTCGCGCATTAGAAGCTCGTAATTCAATAAACGCTAAACGTGCAATTATCGTGCACTTTATTATGCCAATTTCTGTAGTTTCTGACATCGACTCGTACTCGCAGCCATGACCAAGTCGGATCGAATCGAATCGAATCGGGACTGTGGGCCCACGAGGTTACAGCTGCGGTTACACTGGTCAACATGAGAGAGTGTTGAGTTTGGTTGCATGGGGGATAATCGTATGGGATTGTGGTAAGAAATTAAATTCAGCTGGGGGAATATTCTGCAGTTTTTGCTGCTGTTAATGATTTCATATAAAAAACCGACTAAACAAACATCTACTTTTACGAGAAACTTTTTAACTAGAAGAGAACACATGTCGAACTGCAAAACTTACCCCTAAATGCTAAGACACACCGGGAAAGAAAGTTTAAGTACGAGGCGGGAGAGTCAGCTTATCTGGGAAACTTTTGCCTTCTGTATTTTATACACATTTGGTGGTTCTGGTTCTTTCTTTTAAATCTAAAACTCTGTTGTACACTTTCAGCAAATCCAAAACTTATTTCTTTCTAGCAACAAATGCCCCTTGTCTGAGTGTTGCGGTTCGGGAGCGTGCCTTATGGTCATGGCCTGTGTCGGAAACCTCCAACTGCAGCTCTGTGGTCTAGGTCTCATCAGAGACAGAGCCAATGCAAATCGATGACCACATCATGGACAGCACGGATGGACTGGAGCTGATCTCTCCCATCAACACGTTTCAGCTCGCTGGCTGAGTTGGGTTTACTCTTGCAGCCGTGGCTGGGCTGCGCTGTGCTGCACTGCTGATGGCTGATGGCAGCTTTCATGTGCAGATCGTTTGGAATTTTAATTAAATTGGGCGGCAACTTCATTTTCATCATCATCAACTCAACGGCACAGCAGAGCACAGCAGCGACAGCTCCACTTTGAGTTTGAGTTTGAGTTTGAGTTCGAGAAGCAGAAGCAGAAGCAGGTTCAGGTCCGTGTCCATGTCCATGTCGCTTCTATCAGATCAAATTAATATCAGGTGCCAGCAGTTGGTTTTGCTGGCCTGAACTTAACGTCAGAGTTGAAGTTTTGGTAATTTCATGTTTTGCTAATTAATATACGAGGGTTGTCTTTAATGACAACTAAATGGTTAGACTCGATGTGTAACCTTCCTTGGCTCTGTGCTGCAATGCCACGCCACAAGGTAGAAGCCGGTTCCTGTCCCTGTCCCATGCCCAAAAGTCTGCTTGATTGATGGCCGCTGCTTCTGTTGACATCTCAGTGGCTCGAACCAGCCGAATACATATATCAAAATTGTCCAAATACCTTGTTAAATGGCAAATTAGTGTGGCTGTGATTGATTTAGTTGCATTCTTTTGCGGAATGAAGTTGCAACGAGGCAGCCAGGCAACCCTTTTGGAGCAACTGCTGATGGGGTCCATCAACTTGTTGAGGCAACTTGTCTGTCGTTCAGTTAATAACTCATAACTCCTCTGATATGATTTGTGCTGTCAGTTTTTGAATGCTGTCCACAAATTCCTCGCATTGACAGCTGACAAACTTAATTTGTGAGCGAACGAGCGGACCGCGGACCGTGGACCGTGGACAGCAAATTATTAAATTAGTTGTACGAATTGCAATTATGCTGCTGCTGCTGCCTCCCTCTCTCCCTTGCGGACATATAAAACCCGTAAAACTGATTAATTCATTGCATGCGATAGCAAACTGTGGAGCATTGGCAGTGCCGACTCTTTGCTACTACCGAAAAGGTATGCGGGGAATGTGTGCCGTTTGGCTTTGTTGTAGAGCCGCCTTATAATTGTATCCGCGTTACGACTTTATTATTGCCTTTTGCCAGCAGCAATCAGAGAGAGGAGAGTACCAAGAGTACCAAGAGTACCAAGCTCCCAGCCCACAAGTAGAAGGATGATGTGATGGCTGTTGTCTCTGATTGACGTTTCGTTGGGTAATTAAAAGGCAAAGCCAAGTGAGCTCTTTGCTGTCAGGTTTTGCTTGCTTGCTTGCTGGCTTCTTTTTTTGCAGACCTGCTCCGGCATGGCTTCATTTAGTCAGTGCCGGGGACAACAACTAATCAAGTTAACGCTGCACTTGCTCTGCCCAATTGCAGATAGTACGAAAGCAGTTCCAGAAGTGGACCAGGAAGACAACAGAGTCTCAGGTGGAGTCTACAGGCGGGGGCGCTAGTTCGTGGCTAACGTTTTGACACAACATCAGAGTCGAAGTTCTCTGTTTAGTTCCTGGATGCTAATCAGGCAAAGCGCCACAGAGACAGGCCAGAACCAGAGCTAGAGTCTGTCTGCAACTGAAACTTGTTTGCCGGTTGCTTGTTCCGTTTAAAGATAAGCTCCATTAGTGTCTTCGTTGGATGTATGTATCTGTACTTATATTTAAGAGCATATTCACAACATTGTGGCAACTGTGTGGGTTTTTCCCTGAGACATATGAAAAATGAAGAAATTAATTCGTAATACGAGCAAGACAAGTGTAGGCACTGCCACAGTCCTTCCACTCCTTCTGCTGTGTGTCTCTCTCTCTTACTGTTGTCGTCACTTCTGTCATCTCGATAAGCATCAATGTTTCTGCCTTTTGCGGGCTACTCTTTCCACAACTCAACGCAGACGCAGAGTTCCTCTCGCTCTCTCGCTCTCGCTCTCTCCTTCGTGGCTTCTTGGTGTCGTTTTTATGGTTGCACTTTTGTGTTTTTAGCTTCTTCTTCGTGTCCGTCCGTGTGCCTTGGCATATTTCATTAAAAGCCACAACGGACCAGGTAGAACAGCAAACAGAAGCTCTTTTCTGGCATTTTGTTAATGCGTCTCCGTCTCGAGTCTACACTGCCGAGTCGCTGCGCAGTCTCTCCACAGTCTCCGCAGTCTCCACTGTCCCTAATGTCGCCCGAGTCTCCCTCGTCTCTCTCGTGTCTCGTGTCTCGTCTGCAGTCGCGTCTCTGTATCTGGTGGCTGCTTATTTATGGGTTTACATTAGGCTAAACCACTTTAGTCACACTTTGATGATCGGCATTGTAATTTACCCACACCACACATACGACCGCTACACCCGCCATGATAATCGCAAACATTTTGGGTGGCTTAAATCCCCCAGAGAGAGGCGAAAGCTCATGCGTTCTTCGTGATACGAGCATGAAGGGAGAGACGCTGCCGAGTGTGTGGTCGCTTGATGGATTGCCTCTACACCTCTACGACCGATCATGCCCTTTGGTAACTCTCCTCTCCCTAATAGTTTCAGTTGATAAAGGCAATTATTAATTTTCGTTGAGCTCTTCTGAGTCACCCAAAAACACATAAAATTGATACCACAATGTGGCAGCAGCTGAATCTCAATCCACTGGCTCTGTGGCTGTATGCCTCTCTCTGCACCTGAGCTCTTCTCTCATTTTGTTGTTTCGTTGTTTGTTTCTTGGCGCCGTCTTTGGACCAGGTGCGATAAGGCAGCATTCTTGTTGTTGGTTCCAGCCAGGCGCCTCCCGTCATCATCATCATCACCGTCTGGTTGTTGTTGTTGTTGTTCTTCTTCTTCTGTACCTTATGGACCTCTGCCTCTAATGCACACACTCTCCCAATTATAATTAGTTTATTCATATCCTGTGTCGAAGCTGACTCGGCTGCCTCATTTGTTGTTCTTGGGGGCAATCTTAATTCAATTTACTGCCCAATCGACCCGAAAGACACTTCGACCCGAGGGCTACCCTAACACAAAGATAGCCAAGATATGGGCAGGGCAGGTGGATAGGATCAGTGGGGGAATGGACGGAGCTTACTCAATGTAAAGTTTGGATGGGCGGTAGGAAAATGTATCATGATTTGTTTGGAAAATTGGATCTTCAGTTATAATAATTAGATATATCTCTATCATTGATCCTCAATAAAAAATTCAACAAGAAGTTTTCCAAAAGAATATTTGATCTTCCACGAGTTCCGTTTTGTTCTCTCATAATTGATTGTATTTGAAGAAACATTCTATTCTTTAGTAGAAACATATTTTATGTGATTTTAGTGATCTATTACTGAAATATCGATGCATGCATTTAGACTATAAATGATCGCAAATCTACAATTTTGAAACCCTTTTTCTCGGCTATGGAAGTCTGCGACTGAGTGTATTCTCAGCTGAGGTTTAAGCTTGAAATTATGCTGATCATTTATTATATGAGATTTCTGTAGCTCTTTTATAAAGGGAATTTTAGACTGTTTCAGCATTCGCTTCATCATCCTTTAAAAGCTGTTAGATCTTCAGCCCATCCCCCAATGTTTTTTCTTAGTGTGTTCCCCACTTCGTTATCAACTCTCGGCAGAGAAAAAAAACCCGGCAAACCCACTGCTTTGGCCACCCTAATGGAGTAGATTGCTGGGACGGTAGCCCCAAAGGTAGTTGCAGGTTCAAGTTGTGACTCAGGGCCCCACGAACCATGTCCCCACGTTTCAGCCAGACGCGTAGCCCACTTCCAAGCTGTGGCTCTGTGGCTCTGTGGCTCTGCTTGTTGTTGATGGCTGGCGATGCTGTGGCTGATGTTGGATATGTTGGATATGTTGGTGATGTTGATGCGGGGCCAATTACTCATAAAATGCATGTTAAAAACACAACAGCAGCGGCAGCAGGCTACAAGCAGGAGCATCGTGGAGAGGGATCTCCGATCTGTTGTTCGGACAACTGTTGCGCGACGCCGTCTGTCTGCAACTCCAACTCCAGCTCCAGCTCCAGCTCCATCTGTCTGGGCTGGTCAGTCTGCCTGTTCTGCCTCTGCCCTTTGTCATTGTCTTGTAGGGTTTGATAAGCGAAATCCCAAGCAGAGCAATTTGGAGATGTGTCCGACGACGACGTTGATTTCTCATGTTTGCATGTTCCATTTAGTCCAAAGCAGCGAGGACAGGGTTGGGGTTTGGTTTGGTTTGGCGCCATCTTAGTGTGTGAAGTAAGGGCTTCTTTGTGGGTGTTGCTCAATCAAACTTCAATCAAAGTGGATGCAGATATTGGGAAGTTGTCAAACAATCGTTGGGGCAATCAGAACTTGTACCGATAGCTGCCAAAAAAAAAGCGTTCGGTTGTATCTATAAGATACCAAGGGGCACGCTATCTATATATCTGGCAACAAGTTTTAATTGTATGTTGCGGTAATTGAATTGAACCCCTGCCAACCAGCTGCTCTTCTTTCAAACATATTTTAATTTTGTCACAGAGTCAGCACAACAATCTTATCGGGAGGGGCAGATCTCCCGCCCACAGCACTAGAAGATGCCACCCAGAAGATACCACCCCCCGGACTATTTGCGTCATCAGAATATGCGTTCAACTTGCTGCTGACAAGTCACATGGGGCATTATTATTAATTAAATCAATCGTTTCGGTGCCAAGTGCTGGCCAATTCGATTATCACCGACCCCAACTGTTGCTGGCTTATCTGCTGGGTAGCTCTGGGTGTCATGGTGCACATATCTGTCTGTCTATCGAGGTCTGTGAGGCCCTCGTTCACGTCGACTGTGAAGTGGTCAGGGCTTTTTTTTTTTGACACGATTATCTTGGTACGATATGGCCCGGGGGCCCGTTTAATTTCATATATTCTGTACGAAAAACACGGGTACAAGAAGCAACCCACTGGGCAGGCCCACAATTGAACAAACATCAGCCAGACAAAACGTGATTTATTGGCCACAGGCTGTGGCTGTGCCGCTGACAATTTGTACTCTTTAATGGTGTTTAATTAAACCCAATCAGCGATAAAACTATCGAGCTATCAGCAGGAGCTCAAAGCGAAGTCTTCTTTCTTGGTTAATCAAATCAATTCCCTCAGTATTGGTCTACAGCGTTGATATGATTCGGATTGATATGATACGCGGCGTGATAGGATGTGTCCACTTGGGGAATTAATCAAATTTAATGATATTTAATTCTACGTTTTACTTTTCTTCATTCCCTCCCCCCCCCCCCCCCCCCCCCCCCCCCCTCTNTACCCCTTGCTGATTGGTTGATTTGTTGCTTTAATTATGAAATATATTTGTGTGGGTTATGCTTGTAATATTTGCCAATCATGCTGAGAAGTAGGTTAAGTCCGAGTCGGGAAGGTATCTTTTGGAGTGATAGCTACCAAAGTGATACAAATTGGGTGGGAGTAAGAATTTTCGGGGCAGTTCTTGGCTGCATTTTCTATTGGGAGATTGTAGATTGAGCAGCTTGAATGGGGGTGTTATTGTGGGAGTTATGGGTTGGGTTGGGTATTATTTTGTGGATTTGCATGATCGTTTTTTCTCAGCAGGATATGGAACCACGTAGCAGACCTTTAAACCTCTGTTCCTAGCATATTATCTGTATAATATTATCCCTAGATATGGACTCAATAGGTACTATGAATGCTTTTTAAATGATTTTTGATGAATAACTTTTAATCTAAAGGAAACTCACGATGACTCTTGACTCTTTTTCTATCTTTCTGTTTTTCTATGGTAAGTTAAGTTTCTTAGAAATTGTTGCAGCTCCCGTTTATAAATTAAAACTCATTCTTTGCCCATAGAACTCCTCTTAAATGTCTTTATATCTTTTTCCCCATGAACTTATAAAGTCTAACAGATGGTAAAGTGACTACGAAAATCAGTTTTGGATTTATCCATCGATAAATGAGATGAAGGCAGAAATAAATCAAATCTGCAGATGGTGTACCAGTTCCCACTTGAAATTGTTGAAGTTTCTTCCCACTTTTCGGAGTCAAAACCTTACCTTATTTGTGTATATTTCAGTGTGCGCCTGGGGCAGTCTTGTATCTTCCTTGTAGAGCTCCAATCTTGTGTTATATTCTTATTTTTCGTCTGTTAATATCAGCACCTTCCGTTCACACAATCGGCGAGGAGAGCAGCAGCAGCACTTGCCGACGGTCTTTCGCGCACTCCGTCAATCAGTCTTTGGCTTTGGGTTCTGTACTGTCAGATCTGTGGGTACTTCGTGGATCTATTATCTGCTAGTGGTTGGTTGTTCACACCTCCAAAGACGCCAAAGAAACTCCAGCACACGACACACAATGCAGCACACAAAACAGCGGGAAGGAGAACGAAGAGCGTAAACGAAGAACGGTGAACGGTGAACCACGAATGGATGGAGCCGAGAGAGAGCGCGTACACGAAAGACGATGACCGGGCGCCGTCAGTGCCGCAAGCGAACTACAGCAAGAGCCACCGTCGTGCCGGTGAAAAACTCAGGTGGGTTCCGTTCCCCAGGTGCCACAACCGGTTGGCAGTTGTTGCTGCTTCTGCTTCAGTTGCTGTTGCTGCTGCTGCTGCTGCTCTTTCTGCCTCTCTTCCGTGTGTTGTTTATGGCATCGATTGTGCGAGCCCGTGTGCCAAAGCGAGAGGCAGCTATGCGATCGTTGGCTGCGATCGATCGTCACAGGTGTTGGCGGCGGCAGGTGCTCCGCCCACTTTTGCTGTGTGTGCGAGCGGAAGCGAGAGAGCGAGTGGCGGCGACAGCCTATGGGAGGCGTCGCCCACGAACAGAGCGCAGTAATGGCGGCGCTGGCTGCTTTCTCTCTCTCTCTCTCTCTCTCGCCGCGGCTTCGCCTTCGGCTTCGGCTGCTGCTCTTTGCTCTTTACTGACGCTTCCCATCTCACTCTTTCGCTCTTATTGGAGTGTAATTGAATAAGCCGCGGCACAAAGTGCAATAAATTTGATTAGCAAAATGGAAATTTATTTGCCCCCTTCCGCCGCCGAGGTTAACTCTTCTTCTTCTGCGTTTTCCATAGATGCGTTCCCCATGTTGCGGCTCATAAATTAAATAATTTAACCATGGCATTGGACTTCACATGTGTGAGAAGAGATAGAAACTGGGGAGGTGGAGAGAGAGAGGGCGCGAGAGAGCGGCTAGAAGCAGCAAGGAGGATAGTTTGCGGATGGAGTGTGGAGAGAGAGAGAGAGAGTTAGGCAGGGCTGAGGACAGAGAGAGAGAGAGAGAGAGTCAGCTCTCCTGGGACCATATAAACCGTTTGTTAGTAGTGTTAAGGGCCTCGTTAATGACTTTGTTGGCTTTATTGGATGATTGCCGTACGTCGCATGCAGTCGTAGATTATTGCCCTGTTTGCCCAGGGCCCCAGGGTCTGCGTCTCTGTCTGTGGTGTCAGGATGGTAATGGGAAATGCATTGACCATTTGAAAGGGTCATAGAAACAAAGAGTTAAGGGGAGAACGACTGAATAAAAGACAGATGAGGCTCCTTCAGAGTTGAGTCATGCGTGCCAAAGGGGTTTCTAATGGAGAGGTTCCTGGGGTGTTGGCAGGGGTTACTTTTATAAGTAATGGATGCCCCAATGAACAGTTGAAGTCAAGAAATATGAAGGTGTTTCATCGTTTAACATTCAGCCACCAAAATGTGTTCAAAAATAATTTTCCAATATAATTGAAAGTATTTTATTTGAATAAAAGTTATGAAAATGTGGCTGAATATGTTTATACAACATGATATCTATACTTTTATCATATCTTAGCTATGCTTCAACTACTTTCCATGAATCTCCAATTGATTCAACATTTTTAAACATTATTGCAACCTCGTTTTAAGTATTTTAGGCAATTAAAAACGTTTAAAACTTGTATTACTTTGGTCAAACTTCATCAACATTTTCTGAAACTTCCTCAAAATAATATGCAAATTTTATTTTCTTACCAATTCTTTACAAATTCGATCGATTTCAATCGATTTATACATCCCATCAATACATTTCGATGGCACATATTCCCATTTTTCCACAACATTTTCCCCTCAATTACAACGATTCCAATAGGTTCTCTGTACATCCCATATCACAGCTTTTACATTAATTGTCACATCTCGCTCTTGGCCATATTTACAGAAAGGCATTTCCACCTAAGTAATTCCATTTGCAGAGTTTCCCACTCTTATAGACCAATCCCCTCGAGTGTGCCCCACTCTCCGCTATTAGCGAGGAACCTATCCGGTCTTGGCCATTTTCGTTTCAGTCCTAACAGATTCCATTCCTTGATAACTACTTCATTAGGCCTGATATAACCCGACCATATACAACGACGGCTTCATTTCAGCTTCACTTTTGCACTTGCAGCATTTTCCAGGTGGAAGCTGCCGCTGCACCATGCCCCCATGCCCAGCCACACACTTTTTTGCTCGCCGCTGGAGTCGCCCAATTTGCTCGTATCGCCGGGCAATAAATAAAGTGTTAATGGCAATTGCATACAAATAGTTTGGTGTTGCCATTATATTGCCATATTATCCCATTGTCGGGCCTCAACAAGAAGCAAACAATACGACGCCACAGTGCCTCAGTCGCGAAGTCGCGCAGGCTCGCAGTCTCTGGAGTCAGGGTTGGCGGCGACTCCGCTGGAGTTGCGACTGGCTGCACTGCAGCTAATTTCACGCTTCATTTACAGGCGAAATGCAAACAAAAGAGCGACCGGCGACCAGCGACCAGCGACCAGCGACCGACGACCAGTGACCATTTGGTCGATGGGTTCAATGGACAGGCGCAGAGGTCTCGACGGTATATCTCGTCCCCATGTGGCCGTGTCAATCAGCTCGTCGCGCAAGGTGTGTACTCGTTTTGGAAGCAACTCCGCTGCTCGGCAAACGCTCTCGGACTGCACTCCTGTACAGTCCAGAGGCCAGAGACAGAGCGAGAGAGTCGCGCATGCGCGCACGTCCTAATGTAATTATTATCTCAACAATTGAATTTCCGGTCCCGACTTGGACTCTGTCTCTGGGTCTCTGCTGCTGTTGCTGTCTCTGGATCTACTCCTGCACATGGGACAGATGTCGCGCAAAACGTTACAAATGTGCACTTAATTGCGCAATTAAATAATTTTACTTTTTTTTTTGTATTCCAGCTCCGCGCATTTTTATTTTACTTTTTTCCTCCTTCGTTTTCGTTTTTTCTCTGTGTGTTTGGGTGTTGTGCCGATGGCAAACAAATTGCAGCCAAGTGGCTGAGAGTCTGCTTTGACAGGCCCTATCCGCTGTCCGTAGGTGTCTTATTCATTATGGCCATTATGCAGCATAGATATAAGCCATTTACCACATGGGACTCACTGTGGTGGAGAGTGGAAAAGTGAGAGGAGTTAAGGGGGTATTGGTAATATCTAGGCAGCTCCTTGGGTGTACTATGGATGCTTTCTGGACATGAGATAGAGCTCCTTTGATAGAGTTTGTTGGCTGAGAAGGCTCTTCTCCTTCGCTTCGGACAAAGGAAAGACTTCTTTGATGGGATATCTCAAGGCAATCGTTTCTCCATCTATAGCTTTGTTTTCATTCATGAAAAGTAAATACAAATATTGTTAAAAGTGCACATAAATAGACTCTTCTAAGAAATTCTCGTGGGATACTCGTCCAGTCGGATTACCTTGAGGATGCAACTCCTCAAGTTCCACTTAGAGTCATGGCTTTTGTATTGGAATTGTTTCACCCAAGAACCTCAGCTTTTTCAGAACTTAATTCCCAGTAAGAAGTGATGGAAAATAAATATGGTTTCTCCCCAGTTGCTCTCCTTCTTTGCCCTTCATGCTTCCAAAAGCAAGCTCCAGTTGTGCATAGTTTCGACATCCCCCCACTTTCCCTACCCCTCGCGCATTGGCTGCACCAATTTGTGGCCTGACATAATCTCCGTCGCGACACACATAGTTTTCCCTTGAAATTTTCCCCGACCAAACTGTTGTGGGAAATGGTGTAGCAAATGCAAACGCAAAAGCAAACGAAACGCAACTGTAAACGATACCAAATTATATTTAATTACGTGCGATTAGTTAGGGTTACTGGAGTCGCGCGATGAAATGTCAACGATAAGGCCCCGCCCGTCCGAACACAACACAAAAATACTTCTATCTCCCTCTCTCTATTGCGAGGCATTAATTCAATTACAAATGGCTGCGGCAGGGCTCAGGGCGTGTGACATAATCAGCCAACAAAACTGTCGCTGGATGGCTGCCCTGCTGCCCGACTGATGGCTGATAGAAATACCTTCCCCCAGGCATTTCCTTGGGTGACTCTACTCTCTCCCGCCCCCTTGGGCGTCATTATTTGGTAATTTGATACGACGATTTGTCTTGCTTTCATTGCGTCGGCGGTTGCATTTTCACTCAATTGTCGTGTAGGCCCAAATTGACTTGGGCGGAAGCGCGTTATTAACTGGTTTATGCAACCCAAAATCGCCAGATTTCCAGCCAACGATAAGGCCCGAGGCCCATTCTGCTTGGCTGCGTTGGTTAGTCGATTATGATGGTACATCTACACACAAATATGTATAAATATGTACAAATGTACATTAATACATAAAATGTATGTACCACAGTTGTACTTCCATTCCTGGCCAATATGCAGCCTGCAATTAAAACGAAAGCCAAGTAATTTCATTTGTACGTAAATCTAATTGTGGAAAATTCCCCTCCCTCGTGCATTTCCCCTCCCTTTGGCGAAATACTTAGGTAATTAGTGCGTGTACCGACGGGCAGTCTTAATTGTTCCCCTCCTCAGTCCGCCCGGGACTAATTTTGCTGTCGCTTTTCGTTTTTATTGCCAACGTTTTGTTGAATTTTTGGCCAACAAATTTCATGTTTCAGATAATTTGAGTTTAATGCGCTTCAAATTAAAATTATTAAAATTTATCTTTCATATTGTGTTCGACTGAAATTAAATATAATTACGTTGACACAAAACTATACGCATGCCAATTGCATGCAGAAATGCTTAATTGTTTTCCCCAAAAGTGTCCACATTTAAGTATTAACCGATGACTAAATAGAGTATTTTTTGGGAACGAGTCGGAGCGCCGATCAGCAGTTTAAATATTTTTGGAACATTTTAAACGTGTTGCTAAATGCTTTGTTAACATTGAACCACGATTATTTTCCATTATTAATATTTGAATAGGTATTTATATATATTTGAATAGTTATTCCATCTATAGCGCACTTTTTGCCCACAGCTACACCAGATAATTGAATGGTTGACGTTTCTTGCCACTGAAAATGTCTGATTAAGCCTTCTTCTGACTGCCAAAAGTGTTGCGAATTAGGTTTAAAATATTTCAAAATGGGGTTTCATCTATCTGGAAAATATTGCTAACACCAATAAGAACATTTTCAACCACTAAGGTTGGGTTTTTCATGGTTAGGCCAGAGGTCATGGCATACATATGAGACCTCGCAGATTAGAAAGTTGCA